TCAAGTCAAGCCGTTGACCGAACTACTTGCGAGCTACTCGATTACGACTCGACTCGCGTACATCCCTATAGTTAGGGGAGGAAGAATATTTGCCCGTTAATAAAAGGTTTGATTGGACTTGCACAACTAATCAAATATCTGAGAGAGAAAATAAAAAATTCAAAAGTATTTGGCTAAAACTTTTTCTAAAGAGCAAGTTAAGATAAGATAAAATACACGATTAAGAAATCATAATAGTGAAAGCTTTTTTTAGTAAGATCAAATTTTAGTCACTTGACTGAGAAATAAAAAGGGGAGTCTTGTTTGCTGGGGGGATTCAATATTACAGTTTAAATTTTTGATCTTTTAACTATAAATTTTGAAATTTGAAACAGACTCAACGCTTCATGACAATTGCAATACTTTTCAAGAAAGAATAAACCTAAATAATTAATCGGCAATTGCGAAAATACTATGTCGAAGCACCAGCCAATCATTATTATCATCTCACGTGCAACAGCCACATTCAAACAAAACTAAAGGGCAAAACCATAATTCCAACAACAGTCCTTGCTTTTACTGCTTGTACTAGGACCGCAAACGAATTGGCTCATGATCGGTTCGGGTCTGAGTTCGACTTGAATTTGAACTCGAGTTCAAAAATACTAAACTCATTAATTCGCGAGCTGACTCGAGTTCGATTATATATATATATATTATTTTAGTAGTAAAATTACATATATATTCTTAATATTTTATTATTTGTTAAGAAAAATTATTATTTTATTTATTTTTAAAAATAAAATAACTATTTTTTATTTTTTAAGTTCGAGTCAAATTCGACTTGACTCGAATTTGATTCAAACTCGAACTCGAACTTTACATTTTGAAGTCGTCGAGTTCGAACTCGAATTCAAGTTTCATAAATCTAGGTTGAGACTCGATTCGATCAGACTAAAGGTCAACTCGATTTGACTTGTTTGCACTCCTGACTTGTATCCAAAGCTAAAAAATGCTTAGCCACACATCTAAAATTACCAAAATAACTCGAAGCAAGCAATCAAAAATAGATGAATAGTGCCAAACAAATTTCTTTTTATACTATAATATAAGAAAATCTTAGAATTTTATCTGTTTTTGATCTTATTGTTTCTAAAACTTGCTAATTCTGATTTCAAAGATTCTAAACTGGTTTACTTAGAAGGTAGGTTGGGTGGTAAAGAGGGAGGGAGTTTAAGTGAGAAATTCTGGATTCAAAACCTCCTACCTACATTTGAAAAAAAAACATTCTTCTTCTTTCGTTTAAGATAGCTAATCGCTATATATTACGATAACATGTATCCTCACATGTTATAAAATCCTTATATTATATAAGATTAAGTTTTGGTCAAAGAATAGGTTGAATTTCAACCGCATAGGTGGAGGCTTTTTGGGAATGTGAAATATTGTGTATTAGTTTAAAAGCTTTAGGTACAAGTTAATAAAGCATGTATTTGGGTATATTTACTGAAATGACCTCATTTTAATATATTTAAAGTTGTCATTGATGAGCCATATGGGTATTGATGGAATGTGTAATAAGTGTGCAACCGTTTTTGCATTTTGTACAGCCCATATATGCTTGTGTGTTGGTGTAACTACCTGAATATTCCTTAACTACCAACCCTTTTCACCGCAGATAACCGTTTGAGATGTTGCTTTGTCTAAAACGTTTGAATGGCAATTAGATTTAAGAAATAAGCCAATGATTTCTCTATCAATGGTAGAAACCTATTTCTCTATCATTTATAATCTGCATTTATGAGTCACAAACATTGGTCAGTTTATCCCTTTTCAGCTTCAGGAGTTACGTTTTTCCTTCTTGCCTTTGTCTACAACGATTTGCCTCTTCCTTTTCTCTTTCATCCGAGCTCAACTCTGAAATTATCTATTATTTCGTTATTAATTACACCCAATTCAATTCCTTATACTATATAAGATTGAGTTTTGGTTAAAGAATAGGTTGAATTTCAACCGCATAGGTGGGGGCTTTTTTGAAAATGTAAAATGTTGTGTATTAGTTTAAAAACTTTAAGTACAAGTTAAGGAAGCATGTATTTGGGTATGTTTACTGAAATGACCCTATTTTAATACATTTAAAATTGTCATTGATGAGTCATCTGAGTATTAATGGAATATGTAATTAATGTACAACTATTTTTGCATTTTGTACAACTCATATATGCTTGTATGTTCGTGTAATTACTGGAATATCCCTTAACTACCAATAATTCCCCTTTTCAGTTGCAGATAACCGTTTGAGATGTTGTTTTGTCTGAAACATTTTGTCATTAATTACACATAATTCAATTGCCGAATCGTTGGTATGTTAATACTTAAACGGTTGATTATCAGTTTCTCCCTGTTCGCATTTTAGAATTGGGATAATTCTACCCGATTTCATACTAATCAACTCAGAATGCTCTTCAATCCCAACTACTCCTGGTGGTTCAGCGGGAGGTTAGATTTCACCCATCCTCCCAATTTTTCAATTCCTCCCTTAATTTTGTCAGTGTGTTCTTAGTATTTACAATTAGCAACTCTTATCGCGTTGCCTAACTGCAAGATAGCAATTTTCGCGTCGCCTAATCCCAATTGGTCTAGATTGGTTATAATCTTATAGGTTTGGAGCAACAGTAAGAAAGAGCTCTCGGTGGGGATTCTGGAATAAGATTAGTTTTTTGTGTTGCTTTGCCTTTCTGCATTATCAACGACCTTCAATTTGACACAGTTTTACTATAACGCTGTGTGAATTGATTGATTATATCGTTTATCTTTTCATATTAAGTTTTATTTCTTTTCACAATGCACTATTATTTGTTCAACAAAAAAATCTCCTTCCCCACGGGCACTAAACACCCGCGCAATGCGCGGGCACTCCCCCTAGTATATTATATAAGATTAAGTTTTGCTCAAAGAATAGGTTGAATTTCAACCGCATAGGTGGAGGCTTTTTGGGAATGTGAAATATTGTGTATTAGTTTAAAAGTTTTAGGTACAAGTTAATAAAGCATGTATTTGGGTATATTTACTGAAATGACCTCATTTTAATATATTTAAAGTTGTCATTGATGAGCCATCTGGATATTGATGGAATGTGTAATAAGTGTGCAACCGTTTTTGCATTTTGTACAGCCCATATATGCTTGTGTGTTGGTGTAACTACCTGAATATTCCTTAACTACCAACCCTTTTCACCGCAGATAACCGTTTGAGATGTTGCTTTGTCTAAAACGTTTGAATGGCAATTAGATTTAAGAAATAAGCCAATGATTTCTCTATCAATGGTAGAAACCCATTTCTCTATCATTTATAATCTGCATTTATGAGTCACAAACATTGGTCAGTTTATCCCTTTTCAGCTTCAGGAGTTACGTTTTTCCTTTTTGCCTTTGTCTACAACGATTTGCCTCTTCCTTTTCTCTTTCATCCGAGCTCAACTCTGAAATTACCTATTATTTCGTCATTAATTACACCCAATTCAATTGCCAAACCGTTGGTATGTTAATGCCTAAACGGTTGATTATTAGTTTTTCTCTGTTTGCATTCTATGATTGGGATAATTCTACCTGGTTTCATACTAATCAGTTCAGAATGCTCTTCAGTCCCAACTACTCCTAGTGGTTCAGAGTGAGGTTAGATTTCACCCCCCAAATTTTTCAGTTCCTCCCTTAATTTTGTCGATGTGTTCTTAGTACCTACAATTAACGACTCTTATCACGTTACCTAACCCCAATTGGTCTGGGTTAGTTATAATCTTATAGGTTTGGAGCAATAATAAGTAAGAGCACTCGGTGGAAATTCTGGAATAAGGTTAGTTTTCTGTGTTGTTCTTCCTTTCTGCATTATCAACGACCTTCAATTTGACACAGTTTTATTGTAACGCTGTGTGAATTGATTGATTTTATCGTTTATCTTTTCATACTAAGTTTTATTTCTTCTCACAATGTACTATTGTTTGTTCAACAAAAAAACCTCTTTCTCCACCGGTACAAAACACCCGCACGATGCGCGGACATTCCCCCTAGTTGTATGGACAAATTCGTGTTACCATAAACCTTGTTTGAAAAATATTCTATAGCTAGTTAAGGTTCAATAACTAATACGAGGTTTGAGAATTCGATTGCAACCTCCATATGTTTAAAAGTCTACCTTTTAGTCTCTGTGGAATATTTTTGGAGAAGTAAATCAATATCAAACTAAAAGAATAATTATTGCTATCTTATTAAGTAGCTCAAATTAAAGTTGTGTATACAAACCAATTCTACAGGATTAAAGATCAACACATTTGTTATTACTAATTTACTATTAATAGTTCCCATAATATTGCATAATGCTAATTTGGTTTATATGATAATATGAAAATAGTCATCTTTAAGTTTCTTAATTCCTTTTTACAAATTATTTTTTTAAATCTTTTCACTCAATTTACATTTTTAGTCCAAAACAGATAGGGTTAAAAAGTGAACTTTCAAACTATATGGGAGCTACACGTAAATTACCAGAACCATAGGGGATTACTAAATTTTCAGAGTATAAAATATTGGATTTCTTTTTTTGAGAAAAAAGCAATTTTGGTGCCCAAATTTTGACACATGAGCGGTTTTAATTCCCAAATTTTGGACAAAAGTAAATTTGGTACCCAATCTTTCAACTTTTAAGCACATTTAGTACCCTTGACAATTTTTTCCTAAATTACTATGGAAAAGAGTCACGTGATAGTCACATGTTCGGCAACAATTCTATAAAAAAATACCAAAAACAATGTAAAATATCATTCTGACACTAATTACCAAGTTTGAGAACTAAATTTTACTTTTTTTGGCACTTTTTTTATATAATAGTTGTTGAACATGTGATTATCGCATGACTCTTTCTGATTACAATTTAGAAAAAATACATCAAGAATACTAAATGTGCTTAAAGTTGAAAGATTGGGTATTAGATTTGTTTTGTGCAAAGTTTGAAGGCTAAAATTACTCATGTGCTAAAGTTTGGGTACCAAAACTGCATCTCTCACTCTCTCTCTTTTTACTATTTTCGTGCACAGAAACCCTGAGCTTCAAAAACCCTAACAATTCAATTTAAACCATCATAGCCACCCAGAGCAGAGCAATTGGGAGAATATTCAACAATTTTGAAAGAAAAATGACACAAAAGAGCAATCTTTTCAAAGGTCAACAAAAGAAGAAGTCAATTCCTCCGAATCGCCATGGCAAAGCCACTCAAACTCGTAAAGGTGCAATTTTTAGTTTCCAATTTATCATATTTTGGTTGAAAAAGATCATTGTTCTGTATATTTGTGATGTGGGTTTTGATTGAACTCTGAATTTGAATTAAGGGAAGAGAGTTGTGAAGCCCTCAAAGGTCACGAAGGATATGGATACTGATCGGGTAAGCTCATTTAATTCTCCTTATTATATTTATTTATCTGCTTCATTGTACTTCAGAAAGGAATACTCTTGTTTTTAAACTGTTCATAATTAATTGTATCTGCTTATTAATGTTTTTGACTTTCTTTGGTGAAGAAAATTGGTAGAAATATGCAATTTCTTGATAATTGGAGTTGCTTGGTTTCTTTAATATTTCAATAACCACCTAATCGAGATTTCTGAATGTGAGAACAGTTTGGTGTTTTATTTCGTGAAAAAGAACATTAGTTTTGCCTCCAGTTGGAGCTTTAGAATTATCTTAATTCAGAATCTAAGTGTCAGCTGAAAACGACCTTAGAATTTAACGCTTCCTTTAATTTGTCCTGTTAAAAGCACTTAGTGTATTGATTGGATTATAAGCTGTACTTTGATTTCATCTTTCTTTTGTGTGTTCCAATAAGCTTGTTCCCATGCAAAGTTGAGGCAATAGTCTATAGTGTTTCTGTTTACACGTTAGAACCTAAATTGGCTTCAATACCTTTTCTCCATTTTTGTGTGTCTGTATTTGTGAGAATATGTTCTTGTTTTGTAAATTTAGGAGGAAAAGATATGTTCTGGAACCATGATCGTGCATTTCCTTCCTGCATTTTGTATTTATTCTTGGATATTTTAGTATTTATTTATTTTTAGTTTTTCTTATCCTGCAATCAGTTTCTTTTTAGTTGTTCTGTAACCATGTTCTTGTTTCATCATCAATGTTATAGAATTGCATGAGGTGAATGGGAAAGTGATTACATATGGTCCAAATGAACTATTTTGTAACCTCTTGAGGTTAGAATAAGCTCAATTAGTTAGATTCTTTAAAAACAATAACCTGTCCAGGCTTTTCAAATCATAGGCAGGCTTGCGAAACTAAATGGTTTTGGACTGAGGTTTCAGCTATGCATCCAACTCAAAACCAAAATGGAAGATTTTTGTAGACATAAAACTGTAGATCCTTCTATGTCTCATTGAGTATATGCTATATGTTCATTATCTCTTTTGTTAGTGATAAACAGGTGTTATGCCAGAAAGATTTTGTGAGGTAGCATGTAAATTGAGATATCTACATGCTTGCTTGCCTGTAACACAAAATAGTGGATACATGTGCATGTGAAGGGAAGGGAAGCTGTAATATGGTTGTTAAGAGAACTCTTTTTACCCCTAAATAATACTACATGGGAGCTTGTGAATTTGAGAGACAGTTTAGGTTAAGGTGCTTTTGTAGTTAGGCAGTCTTGGAATGTATAGCTTCTAATCTAATTTCATTAGGGAAAATTGATGAAATTGTACAGTGATTAAGAGAACCAATCTGAGACTAAATTAACGATTGTCCCAGATTTAGAGTAGAGCATCAATGTCAAATGTTGCTAAATGATGAATATTTGAGCAATGATTGGACAAAATCATAGTGCAATTGTGTATTTTCAATGTAATGCTGCTCCTGACAACTGTGATCTCTTTTCACAAGCAGCAAGTGGATGCGAATACCGCTTTGGTAGTGAGGTGTTCCAATAGAGTTTTACAGCTTTCACCATTGTTTTTTCTCTATTTTATTCAGCCTTGAGCCTTCCTCTTTGGGTGTTATATGGCACAGGCTGCCTTGTCATTTCATTCTGGTTCACTAGTCTTAGATCTCCAGCTCAGTTTACCTATCCTTTGTTACCAAACTTTGTCAATTCTTCTGTCACTATATACAATTGAACCACCTTGAAATACATAACCAAGATAGGTTGTTTATTTCCTATATTCTCAAGTTCAAGGAGATAGCATGTTGTTCAGATCACTTATGATCCAAATAGATAGCAACTTTTGGAAGATGGTCTTTTTGTTCATCATCAGCAACCATCAATCTCTCAATATACAGATCCTTCGTTCTGAGCTTTGTCTCCACTTCCACACCCATCTCCAGCTACCTAATTAGCAAAGCTCAACTTTGATTACAGTTCCTGTCCCCCCCCCTCTTCCAAACCAAAAAATTTTTTTTTTTGTCCCTTCTCTGTCCATAGCTCTCCAATCTCACTTTTTTTCTCTTTTCTGGATCAGCAATCTATCCTCTTTCCAATGCTCTGGTTTTCTACCTGTTAAATATGGTGATGGTGAGGGTGGCGTTTGAAATTTTAAGGGAGTGAAGATTGATATCCAGGTGGTGCTGAATGCTGGGGAAAAAAATGGGAATAGGCTAAAGTTGGTTACATATATTTTAGTTGGGGTGTAGAGTTTCATTCTATTATCGGGTTTTGGTGGCATGGGTGAAAAGGAAGTAAAGTTTATTCCTCTCCCTACCAATTGTCTTTTTATATCTGTTCATGGTGCTAACTAGTCTCCATGAACACAAAAGGTCTGCTATTTCTAGAATTTACAGGAAAAGAAAAGTAAATTTGTCATCAGACAGCCTGGTATTTTCAGATTGTAGACTGACGGAGAATGCTTCTCCCAATAACTTGCTTTCTTCTGAACTGAGGCTGCGCATTGAATTTATACTTGATTTGACATATTGACCTTGCTTGTGCATATCTTTTTAAGTTCTTCTGACAGTTTGCGTTCTGCTCTTCAGGAACTGACCAAGTTCATAAATTATTGCAATGAGGCAAAAGCAGCTACTGTTGCCAACAAGGAAGGTGGCCAACTAAGCATAGTCAAACCACAACCAGAGTCATCTAGTGGTGCAAAGTAGGAAACAACAGGCTGCTGCATCAGTCAAGATCAAGTCATTGAATTAACACAATTTTGATTGTCATTTTATAGGAACAGAATAGGTGTGGTTTATTCCCTTTTTCTTATTGTGTAGCTTTTTTATTTCCTGAGTTGATTCTAGGGCTGGATTAGAGTTGTTTGTTGTTGTTCTGCATGCAACTTCTTGCATTTTTGGCTACTATAAAGTGTAAATTTCTATGTATTCATGTTGCCACATCTGTTCTTGTTAGCTGATCAACGGGACCAAGTGTAGCTCCTAATTGTCTCTAATTTACTCTTGTAAGTGCCTGAGTTTCTTGGTTTTGTTACTCTGAATAGCTTTGCAGACAATAGATCAAGCTCGTTGGTTAAATGACTAAAAGTTTTCAGTTCTACAGGATGAGACGACTGGGTGTACCGTAGTGTGTAAACCTAAACTATCTATTCCAGAAATCATGAAACATGGTGCATAGCTTATCCTGTTGAGATTGTTTAGGGCCAGTAAAAATGTTTGTTATTGGAGGTTTTGTGTTTGACACGTTTCTGTTGAATCTGTTAATCTCTCTGAATCTGATGTTTACCATTACCACATTGTAAAAGGTTCATGATTATGTCAAGTTCTGTTTATTCTATTTGTCTTTATGATGTAAAATTCTTTCAAGTCTTCATTTCACGCAAATGCGGTGCCACTTGCTTTACATGTTTCTATTTACCCAAACTATAAGGTGCTCTGCATTTTTTTTTTGGGCCAACAATTAGCTTTACTGAATTGGGAATTTGCTGCATCTCTGGATTGGATTCTTTCCAGGGCACTTGGTATGGTGACCAGTCTAGAAAAGAGTCCAAATTTGTGGTCCATATCTATCATTAATGAAAAACGTGCTCTCTGTATTTGTTAACCGAGGACCATAAAGTTTCTGAACCCTTGATAGTCTTTTCTTGCCCAGGGTTGATGGTGAATTACCATTTTCCTTTTGTTTTTCCTGCATTCTATTATGTATTCCGTCTAAAATCTTGAAGTACAAATCTTCTTTTAGCCACCTCTTACTGTTTAGAAACTTGTGAGATGGTCTAAAAGCTGGTGTCCGATAGGCACAATAGCTTCAAAGTTTGAAATGTACAGTCCATCATTCTTTGCATATCATATTGGAGAATGATGAGCATTTGTTTATTCCTATGGTGTTATGTAATATAATTTGATTGAAGAGGTGACACAAAACAATTGAGTGTTATGTTAACACACTTTTTTTTTTTTTCCGTGTTGGTAGTTTTTTGTTTTGGGAAGAAAAGAGGGGCCCCCGGGGGGGTGTGGTTTTTTTTTTTAAAGGGGGGGGGGGGGTTGTGCTGGGGAATGGTGAAAAGATGTCCTGGAGCATCAATTCTTGCAAAAATAGCAAGGTGTATTCTTGATGCCTTGTTGTTGGAACATGTGGCATACCATATCAATCACCAAATTTTAATTTCTTTAACCGACCATCTCCAAATACAAATACATACGTACATAGGTATGTATGCAATTGTGCTACCTTTCTGTTCGCCCTTAGCATACGTATTGCAATTGGGATACCTTTTTGTGCACCCTTAGCAACTAATAAAAGTTGACATGTCTTTCAACTGAAATTTGTACACAGTTCCATTCATCTCACGGGGAATGGGGCAACCGTAATCGTGTTGTGTGGTGTTTGTACCTTTTAATGATTTCATGTACGCTTGTTTTACCACGTTTTATGCGTGAATTTTGTTTGTTAATACATATTGTACAATGTTATAAGTAGAATAATTTATGTAGATGTACAACAATTCTGGAAGAAGCACAATATTTGGATTAATTGTACCAAATCACAACTCTAGTGCTAACACAGGTTAGTTCAATTGGCAAGGATGGATCTCTTTCTCATAAAATATGTTCGAATATTGCTGTCGAGGTGAGGGTTGTGTTGGTTGGCAATCTATAAGAATCTTTGTAAGCGACATATGATTTCATAGAAGACTAACATATGGTTCTTGAAAGAACAATAATATGTTAGTGAGCAATTTGTAAGAACATCCGTAAGCGATCTATGATCTCGGAGATATGTCTTGACCCGTGTTGGTGACCAGAGTCAAATCAATCCAAATTTTATTTTACCAGAAAAAAAAAATACTCCAGTGTTAATTTCCAAAATGTTTGGTCCCCTCCTAAAATTCTTCATAATATTATTGACTCCATGGTGCTTGCTCTCTCTGTTGTCCATTTGGGAATGTGAGACAGGGGACCAGCTTGACTCATTAGGAGGACAGATATTTCCGACGTCAAAATCATGCTTCAGTCACAAATGTTTTTCGGCCCCTACTATGTTTTTGCTTAATGAGTTTTGCCAAATTGGAAAGTCAGCCATCAAATTTAACAAAAATACAATTGAAATAGCTTTATCAAGATTAGAAGTTCATAAAAACTACCCTCCTCAAAATTGATGGCACAAGCCATTTTAGATGTGGTACATTAAGAATAAATTAGTGTTAATATGGAGAAAATCCTTTGGAATTATATTTCAGAAAATTAACATTGTACGAAAATTAGTTTAGAGGTACCACGCCATTCGATTTATCATAAAGTTCCTCCACTCAATCTATTTTAAACACTTAAATCTCAGATCTTATGGATTTTGGATCTTGTCAAATTAGTTCCGTCAATTTATTTGTCCATTTACCTGTATCTAATTATTAAATACCATATAATAATCGATAGGATTTATCTTAATGAGGAGATTATTGTGTTAAAATATCAACCCAGTGGACAATATATTACTATTACATAAATATATGATAATCGGACGATGGAGAACAAAGTAAATTGTGTAAAACAAAAAAATACGATTGTTTAATCATAAGCCCAAACATTGTTGAATTAATTTGAGATTTCCATACAATTTATTTCTACAATGAAAATAGTCATGAACAGTAACATTCCTTAAAAGAGTATCAATTTAGTTTTTTATCATATATTTGAAGAGAAGAGAATCCTAATCCACTCCCTCAAGATAATCGACTGTCTTAGAATCCTGTTTGGATTGCAGTTTTTTAGAGTTTTATTATAGAAAATGTATTTTAACGATTTGATATATATGAAATAATAAAATAATTGAAAAATGTATTTATGAAAACGTAGAAATTTTTTTGGTGAAAAATGGCTTTTCAATCAAGGCTAACAAACCAATTCAGGAATGGCCACCTATCTTTTTTCTCTCATTTTGTTAAGAACACTCAAGAATTCGGTAAATAAACCTAGATCTCCGAGCAACCCTCAAAGACCGGCAACTTTTGAGAATGGCCACCTATCTTGCACAAATAAACATTGAAAAAGTTTCCGTGGAGTGCCTGTCAATTTCTTGTTTTAAAATCGTCCCTCAAAAGTGACCCACCAAAATAGCAACCGCAAAGTATAATTAGTAAAAATTATATGAAACACAGAAAGGGACAGATCACAGCCACGCAGGGAAAAGCATTCATGCAGTTATTTTATTCCTTTTTTTTTTTTTTTTAAAGCTGTGACAAGTTGTATGGTATAATGCTTTATGCACCTTACCAAACTCAAGTGGTTGGTACAGTATTCATCTGAATATTCAGAACTTTTAATGTCGTGAAGTTATTGAATACCAAATTCCAAGGCATTCTTGCAGATCCTGTCTCAAACTTTAACGTTCAAATTATAGGGCACACCTCTTCCTTTTGGTTAATTTTTAAATAAGAAGTTTAACTTTACTTCCAACTTATTGATGAGATCGAGAAGGAAACTCTGTCCAGAACGGCAAAAAACTATACAAATTACCATGGCATGGTAGTGGAAGTTTTTAAAGCAAACTGTTTTTCATTTGCTTTTGAATTGCATGGAAATGCCAAACTTTTTTGTCATCTTTTCTTGATGCAAGGAGGAAGGGCAAAGATCCAGAAATCGGTCTGTTAATAGCTTAAAGATCACTCTGTTTGGATTAGTTATTTTTGGGTGTGTTTTTGAAAAAATTTTTTACTATAATAATATACACGAAAAACTTTTGTATGAGATTTTTTTGAGTTATTTTTATTTATATATTATTATAGTATTATATTTAAAAAACTTATTTTTAAAAAATATTTTTTGAAGCAAAATGAAATTATTTATATATCAATCGATTGAAAGATCTGCTTGAAGAACGGATAACACAATAGTTTCATCTTGAATTGAAATAGCGTATTGTGCTAGCTTATGAGCTACACTATCATATTTTCTAAGAATCCAATCGTTCCCATTTGGGTTGCATTTATTTTAGCACTTTTTAGAATTTTTATAGAAAAATGTAATGCAAATTTAAAAAAGTGTCGAGGGATAACTCCAAATTTTTTTTTTTTCGAGAAAAGAGACAATCCAAACAAGGCAATAGTACTTTCAGGCGAAAGAGAAGATCTACAAGAACATTAGAGAGTAGGTGTCATTTAATCCCAAAGATGTGACATAATTTTGCAGAGGCAACTCAATCTGCATAATTCTAGCAAAATCAATCATGACTAAGACGTCTTGTCAATGTAATGTATCACATTCTTTCATGTGTCTATTCTTGAATGTTCCTAAAGTAAGTCAAAATCCACGTAATTCATAATTGACATAATACAAATTTAAAAACACAATCCTCTTACTAAAGATCAAAGTTGTTGTTTTTTTTTTAAATATAAACATTCCTTGCTTCCTTCCTTTTGAATCATTCAATTCATCTCTCTCTCTCTCTCTCTCTCTCTCTCTCTCTCTCTCTCTCTCTCTCTCTCTCTCTCTCTCTCTCTCTCTCTCTCTCTCTCTCTCTCTCTCTTATTCAGTCAAATTTTTGTGGTATATAAAGCTCTTGACATATATCACAAAAACAACATACTATTAGTTAAACTTCATTCGATTGATGTGCTTTTTACAGATTTTAATATAAACTCAAACAATTCTCATGTACGTGTGAATAGAAGAAAAAATACATTATCCTCACACAATTGGACCTGCTACAAATTCCTTATCCAAAATTCCTTATCCTCACACAATACTAGTAGAGCTGAGTCAGTTATCCAAACCAATAGAAGAGATGGAAAATTAGAAATTCACTACTTTTTTTTTTTTCTGTGCCATTTACTAGTTGGAAGAAGACTTTAAACTCTAGAGTGCCTTATACGACTAGTAAATTAAAGATGATAACGTGGGGTCAACCCCAATCGTTCTGTCTACGTTCGTGTACAAACATGACGTGGCCCAACCTCATTCACAAACCCACAAATCACAGCCGTTGATAGCATCATCAAACTTTTGGTAGTACGAAATTTACAAATTGAAACGCCAGCATTCAATGTCTGACCAAATATTCTCACGTGTATTTCATGCCTACAATAACTAACCATGTCCCACAGCGCACCATATAATGCCTCCATCTGTGAAACTGTTAAAAGCCCATTCTCTAACTGACGAATGTTTTAGTACTTTAAATTGTAGTGCAGCCATTGGAGCGTGTTTACACGAGCCGCTCCCTGCGAGTGGTGGAGGCGAGAGCTAGTTGTGTCTGAAACT